AATGACGAAAGAAAGAAAGAAGAAGAGTGGAAAAAGGAACAAGAGGAGGAAAGAGAAAGAAAGAAAAAAAATGGGAAAAATGAAAGGAAGGAAGGAAAAATGAAGGAAGGTAGGAAGAAAGAAACAAAGAAAGAAAGAAAGAAAGAAAGATCAAAAAAGAAAGAAAGGAGAAAAGAAAGAAAGAAAGAAAAAGAAAGAAGGATGGAAGAAAAACCTAAGGAGGAGGAAAAGGCCAAAGAAAGAAAGAAAGAAAGAGGAAGAAACAGAAGAGAAGAAATGCGTCAATAAGAATGAATTGGTTCAATGAAAGAATCCAAGCGCTTCCTGTTACAATGTTTTTATATTCGATAGAGAACCAAAAATGGAGGTAGGAAAAAAAGGTAGAAAGAAAGAAAGAAAGAAAGAACAAGTGAAGAAGAAGAATGTAAGGGAGAAAAGAAAGAACTAAATAAGAAAGAATGAGTCCAAGAAAACAACCTAAGGCGCTTTCCTCTTGCAAGAGTTTTATTATTTAAAAGAGAAAAATAAAATCATATAGAAAGAAAGAACGAAGGAAAAGATGAAAAGGTAAGAAAAAAGAAAGGAAAGAAAAAGTAAAAAAAAGATAGAGAACAAAAACGAAAACAAAAAGAAGAAAGCCAAAGCAAGATGAAAGAGAAAAAAAAAGAAGAAAAAAATGAAATCAGGAAGAAAGAAGAAAAAAAATTTGAGAAATAAAGAATGAAATATCAAGTAAGAAGATAAAAGGGAAAAATACAATGAAGAAAATGTAACAAGCGGGAATCAAAGAAAGAAATTAAAAAAAAAATAAGGAAAGAGGCCACAGTAAAGAAAGAGTGAGGAAATAGATAAAGGAAATTAAAGAAAGAAAAGAAGAACGACAAAGACGAAAATGGAAAAGAATGAGAGAAGTAAGCAAAAGAAAGAGAAAGAGAATAAAATAACCGAGAAAGTGAAGAAGAAAATGAGAAGAAAAGGAAAAGGAAGGAAAAAAGAAAAAATACGATAAAGAAAAGGAGGAGGAAAAACAAGTAAGAATTTGAGAATAAAAAAGGAAAAGTGCAACACTGAAATCCGAAGGTGCATTGAGATAGGAAAATATGCCTTCCAAAAATTAAACAAAGTATTAAGAAATAGAAAAATTTCATTAGAAACAAACAAACAAACTGTTGAGATGTTGAATGTTTCCGTGTGCATGTATTGAAATAAGGACAAACACATACGTAGGGGAAAAATACTGGTATATCTGAAGAGGTATTTACAACAGAGAGATTAGTAGTCAAACGAACGCAGGTTAGTCAGTAACAATCAGAAAGAGTATAAAAGTCCAACTGTATCTTCCAGTAGAGAGACGGAAGTGTGATGGTCACCTGATCTTCCCAGAACTCTATAAAACTGTCCCATTAGTAGTAGAGAGATCAGTCCATTCTGATGAGAAGGTGGGTGCGCCCCAACACAAACAAAAAAAAAAAAAAATTAAAGACTAAAATACTATTATGTGATATCATTACTTACATATTGCAATGAAAGCTGGACAATCTTTTCACAGACAAAGAAGAGATTTGAATAAAAAAAATATGATTCTGCAGAAGGATGCTGAGAATATCATGAAACAAACATGTGAACAACTGTTGCATATCCACTTCCTGATGGGGTGGGGGAGTTTTTGAGCGACTTTCTTGATACGTAGTTTTCTTCTTGTCATCTTCCGGTCAGGTGATCGCTAGTTGGTTTCTTCGGAGGTAAAATGAAAACTTCAACAAAAGGAATTTTAAACTTATCTATTTTATTAACATGTTGACGTGTACATTTTTAACTAGTCAGTGGGGTTGCTCTGTCACCCACACTGGGGATCAAGTTCCACGCACACGAAATTAACACGTCTGCATTCTTCGACGCGTAAAACTTAACTCCACGAACTTTCTAATTCTCTAACATTTCCCACGTTCGGCTGAGCCAATAAAAATCGAGATTTCTATTTTGTCTACCAGTTGGCCCCAGGGTCAGCCTCAGAAGGTCGGAGCGAAATAGACTGCCACTAAAGAAATAATAGTCTGAAACTATTATTTAACACAACGAAGAAGTTCAAGATAAAATGAAAATAAAAGATGATCTTATACTTTACATCAGGAAGAGAGATTTGAAATTTCTAAGGCAGATAATGAGGAAAGGAGGCTTGGAAAATTTGATACTCACAGAACAGATTGCAGTCAAGAGAGTCAAGCGAAAAGAAAGCATAAAGTATTTAGCGAGGTTGTTTAAATGGATGGAGGAAGAAGTTTAAGAAGAGATAACAAAAAGACAAAAGTTATTAAAAGGGACAGGAAATTGTGGCGAGCCATGCTTGCCAACACCCTCAAGGGACATGGCACATAGAAGAAGGAGGAGGATGAAGAGGAGGAGAATGACGAGGAGGAGGAGGGGGAGAAGGACGAGGAGGCACGGATAACGTCTCGGATTGAGGAATCCGAGAGCTGAGTTCAAATTCTAGTCACATCTATTACATTCACTTACGTACTAATACCCTTGGGAAAGGTATGAATCCTCTTCTTCTCCTTCCAGTCATGGATAAATAGCAGGACAGACGGGGTTCTATAGCCTTGGATGGCAACTGGTCTATGGCAGAAAGAAATGGCAATCTACTGCGGGAAAAATCTCGTCAGTTATGTATCGAAAGATACATGATCGCCTAAGCGTGTATCACCCATGGCACATAACTAAAGGGAAAAAGAAAGGAAATAAAAAATAATTGAAAAATTAAAAAAAAATTTTTATAAAAATGTTGAAAGAGGAAACGACAAGATATAATAAGAGAAAGGAAGCATGAGAAGGAAAAGATGATGAATGATGAGACGAAAGGAGACAATTGCAATAAATGTAAGAAAAAGGCAAGAAGAAAAATGAGGTTTAAAAAGCGGAGTGTTCAAGCGGATGAATAAAATTCGATTAAAATAGCGAGTATAAACTGAGATTCAGATATAAAGTCTATCAATTGAGATGGACAAAATAAACTATTTTATATGGCCAATGGATGCCAAAATTCCCAATTCTTAAAATAAAACTGTAATCTTTGAAATCAATATATTAGGAAACGATCGATTGTAAGTTTCCTGACTGGGCTCCAAATACAGCTCTTTTGAATGGACACCTGCAAAGATTCTGGTGAAAAATAAAACACCATCATTAACCGCTCAGCGCCAGGAAAACGGCTATTCACCTTTGGCTGCATTTTCAGAGTTTGTATATTTTCACTCATTTAACTGATACCACATAGAGTAAACATATATATATATATATATATATATATAGCGAATCGAGTTCTCTCAGTCACTCTGTGTTTATCTTACCTGCAGTGCGCCAATGGCTTAGGGGGTAAAATCCCCGACAGACGACAATTCAGCCGGGTTTTTGATCCTAGCTAGAGGCAACTGAACGTCTAGCCACACTGATGAGCTGTGCTTCAACGAAACAGTCTCTCTGTGGATGACAATATATATATATATATATATATATATATATATATAGAGAGAGAGAGAGAGAGAGATTTAATAGACCTGTTAATAAAATTTAAAAGAACGAAAAGCTAACAAAATGATGCCAGTAGTGTCAATGAAATTGATATTTATTATATGTTAACTTTTTGACTGAATTGAAGCACAAGGAGAGATTTTAATATCGGAATTTACGAACACGCCTGTGTTCTTTTTCAACGATACAAGGAATAATTAAAGAAGTGGGTCTTATTTTTCCGTGGAATGTTGTTGGTTAGAGGTCTCCCTGTGGAAATTATACTCTCTGAGTAAACCCAAATCCCTGTTTAATCCCTCAATGTTTGAATTTATTTTGAAAATAAGTTTCAACCGCGACCTGCGTCTTTCTTCTCGGCTGTTGAATGAAGATGCTAAAAGCACGCATCTGATGTCATCAATACTATGAAATGGTTGGGTGAAGTGTGCAGCGACAGGAAATTATTGGCTCTGTGTTTTTTTATGGTTAGTGGACCGAAGACGGAATTCCTTCCGTTTCTCCAAGATAATTTCCATTTTTTTTTTTGTATTTGTGGCAGAAAAGCAAAAATATAAGATTCGAATTGTCACAATTCAGTACCGGTGGTTTGAATACTACGTGAGTGCCAGGGTGTGTGGTATTTAAATATTTATATATTTAAATGATAGATTTGTCAGCAAGGTGATTTCTCGATTTGGAGGAGGCGATCCCAGTATGCAGCACTTTTGGAAAATGCCTAAAAACCATATCAGGGGCTGATCCAAGCCTTGTGAGTAGACTGACCAACAAGGCAGTATGAAACATAATATATATATATATATATATATATATATATATATATATATACGTGTGTCTGTGTGTGTGTGTGTGTGTCCTTATTCTTATTTTATAATGAAATCCAAGTGACATGTCCACAAATTGCAATACATGCTTTTGTATTGTAATTTGTGGACATGACACTAGGATTTCATTTTTCAAGTAAAAATGTGGGTAGACTGACCCGAGAAGGTATGGAATAACACAGTAATTCCACCTACATTTTACGCGTGCGCGAGTTTTTCCTCCCTTCCTTCCACACTTGTGCGTGTGTGCGCGCGCGAGCACGGATTGCACCCCTTCCTCTCTAGTTAAGCTAAACATAGCAGTAAACAGTCTTTTAACTAGTTAGGAAGGTCGATGACCAGCTCCTGCTGATAATATCATCATACCGTTTTTTCCCGCGTTTTTCTCTGACGTCATGGACAAACGACTCTTTCAAAGTTAGTCGAGGTTTAAAGTGGGAACGCCTTAAATGTAGGATTAGGTCCTTCACCACTGATTTCAGCAAACGGCTCGCTCTAGATAGAGCTGAAAAGGTGAAGACGCTTAAAGCTAGTTATTCTCGGGCGGTGGCTGGGGGGGATCCCCTAGAGATAGCCTTAGCTAAGGAGGCCCTGGATCGATCGAATAGCGAGCGGTACATGGGTCAGGTAATTAGACATAAGTTAAGCAAGATGTCTTCCGAAGCCGTGAACTTGGGCGCAGATCTGCGCAGGGAAGAGGTCCGTCGAGGTGGCGATCGTTACATTCGTGAAGTCAAATCCCCGGAGGGGCGTACTCTTCAGGCCACTGACGACATGTGCGGAGCGTTTCGGCGCCATTTCGAGAACCGGTTTACCAAGGAGCCTGGTCTCCGTGAGGAGGAGTTTCGTAGCTATTTATTGACTTTCCTCGGCTTTCGCCGACTGAAGCGGCTAGCTGCGAGGGAGAGATTACGGAGGGCGAAGTCTACGCGGTTTTGAAGAAGGTCGGCAGAGGCAAGTCGCCCGGTCTGGATGGTTTACCCTTATGAATTGTACTTGAGGCTGTCGCACATCTTTGTTCCAATTTTGACGGCAGTGTTCAACAACTGGTTTCGGTCGGGGTCCATCCCCAACCGGATCACCAGGGGTGTGATCACTCTGTTGAAAAAAAGGGCAAAGGTGGTGGGGGGTTTAGATGATTACAGGCCCATAACTCTGCTAAACACAGAGTTAAAGATTTTGGCCAAGATCCTGCAGGAGCGTTTGCAGTCAGTTGCCAAGTCTCTGTTGGGACCTGAGCAGACTTGTTCTGTGAGGGGCCGAACAATTCAGAGCAACCTGCATCTGATCCGCACGATCATAGAGGGTGTAAAAGACGACGAAGAAGCCGCGCTGATCAATTTGGATCAGTCCAAGGCATTTGATAGGATCGACCATCGCTACCTTGCTGCTGTCCTGCAGGCCGCTGGATTCGCACCCAACTTCTGCCGCTGGATTAGCCTCCTGTATCGCTCCCCCAGTGCGGTGGAACAGGTGAACGGAAGGTTGTCGGACGCGTTCGTGCTGTTTAGGTCGGTTCGTCAGGGTTGTCCGCTGTCGCCTCTCCTTTATGCTTTGGCGTTGGAGCCTCTACTTCGCCGGCTGAAGGACGAGACCGGCAGTCCGGCCCTACGGGGAATTGCCGTTCCTGGAGGGTCTCGAGCCAGGGTTTCCGCGTACGCCGATGACGTATCTGCTGTTGTGTCCGCAACGACATTGAGGCGGTACAGAAGGCGATTGATCGGTACGAGAAGGTGAGGGGGGGCCAAAATAAACCGCGACAAGTCGTCCGGTTTGCGGTTAGGTGCCTGGAAGGGGTCGATCTTCCGGGGCCGCTTCGGTTGGACAGACGGTCCTGTCCGTATTCTTGGAGTGTGGTTTGGGCCTGACCTCCAGCTGGAGAAGAATTGGTCTGAAGTACGAGCAAAGGTCGATTCCGCCGGTCAGACTTGGAATCGATGGAGGTTGTCCGTGAAGGGCAGGGCGGAGGTGTGTGCTACATACGTTTTCCCTCTGATTCTTTATCGATTGTCCGTACTTCCTCTCTGTAAAGACCCGCAAGAAGGCGCTCGAACGCTCGCTATCCTCCATTTTATGGAGGTGACGCGGGAACCGGGTCGACAGACGAGTCTGCACTAAACGTCCGTGTCATGGGGGACTGGGAATGCCGCACCTGCCGAGTCACATCCGTGCCTCTAGGTTGGCTTTCCTACGCCGCGCATTGACTGGAGGAGATCCGATTCTGGAGGGGATTGTTAGGGACGCGTTCCTGGCCTTACCATCAGTCCCCCCATCCTGCGGGTTGAGCGCGGTCGTAAACCCGAGGATCAATCGGTTTTCCTTCGCGAGTGTCGGTCGGCCTTGAGGCCGTCCCCGGTCCAGTGACCTTTCTCGGCCTAGGAAGGTCTTCTATCGTGAATTAGTGGAGAGGCCCGCGAAGGATCCCCTACGAGATATGCTCGGCATGTCGGAGGAGGAGTATCGCTCCTACTGATCTTGGGCACCAGCGTCGGATTACCTCAGTAACCCTGAGTTTTCGCTAAGCTGGCGATTGGCTCGGAATCGGCTGCCTCTCAACGACAAGGCTTTCATATGGGGCTTGGCGGATTTGCCAGACTGTGAACGGTGTGGCCTTGGCTTAGAAGAAACGGCTGCGCACGCCTTCTACCATTGCCCTCAGGTCCGCCCCTTATGGGACCATGTCGGCGAGCTGACGGCTCGTCTCGCTCCTGAACAGCTTGTGTCCATTGATCGCGCATACGCGTGTGACAATGTGTCGCCCCCGTATTCCGGGATGAAACGGATGGTGTTTCTGACGCTGATGGCCACGGCTCGAATGGTGATTTGGACGACGCGAAAGGAGGAAATCTTGCGAGGCAATCGTCTTCCTCATTCGGATCTAAATCGATTCTTTGAGCATCAGCTCAAGATGAAGATTAGATCGGATAGAAAACGATTGCATTCGACAGTCTCTAGCGAAAGGTGGGTAAAAGAAGCGAGCTTGCTTCGTGTGAACGGGGCTAGCCTTGATTTTCTCTTCTAGGTCAACCTATTGCACATCGGGGTGGTTTCCTGTGGAACCCTCCCTTGGTTAGGTTAGACAAGCTTCAGTGTACCTAGTTAATGTGAGTAAGTGTTGTTCCTGGCCTGCATCCCGGCCGTTCTTTGGTTATGATCCAAGTCGAGATTCCCAACCTCCTCAGTTTGTTTTGACCCCACCACCTTTCATCTCGACTGGGTCAGTTTTATATTTTCCCATTCCAGCCTAATATTTTATACTTTTTCCCACTCCCTTAGTAAGAGCGTCTCTTGATTTTGTCCCCTGTGCAGAATACAGCGGTCTCTCTGTTTTATGGGTTGGACGGTCCCTACTAACATCAATTATGTTTAGTTTGTATTTGTGTTTATTTTAAGTTTATTATTGGGTTCGTTTCCCCCCCTCTCATTTTTATCATTATTAGAATTGTATATATATATCATCATTAAAATTTTTATGGCATGGGGCGCGATTTTGGTAGGTCTCCCTTGAGAGCACGTGGTATTATGGTGGTTGAAGGATTGCTTGGTGATGGACGAGTTTTTTTGGTGAATGAGTAAAATGTAATGTAAATGGGTCGCGAATCTGATTAGCTAGGTATAAGATAGTTAGTGTTGACCAGCCTCTACCCCTTCCCTTTATTGGCCTCGTGCCACAATTTGTACTTTTTGTACGAATAAATATCAGTCGAGGTTTAAAGTTAGAAGCAACAAGTTGACTCATTTATCCCTCGTCAGTTAACCATAATACAGACATGGATATCTTATCGGCAAATAATTTTTCGTCCCTTTTGGTTCGTCATATGTAATTATAAGACGATGTAACTAACTGCAAATAATTTCTTCGTCCCCTTTGGCTCGACGTATATAATCACATCAAATCGATGTAAATTTTCAGCAATTAATTCCGAATTCTTAAGTCAACAACTTGTTACATTTCCCTATGTTTTCGATCTAAAAAAAAACTGAGACGTCCTAACATTCGCCACATCACCTTTTCGAGAACTATTCTCTATTCATAATGCGAACGTTTTGTTTGAGTCTGCCTCCGTCCATGACCAGGTAACTTTGAAACCTTCAACAGTTAAGAACGAGAACTTATATCCGTTGAACTCTAAACACTAAGAACCAGTTTATTTTAAAAATATTGTTTTAAACTCACACTAACAAAACTAGCAACAATTATTTTCTTTGTTGTAGATTTTATACTATTCCGTATAAATTGACTGTTCTGGAATTTCCTTCCTGAAGAATTTTTCTGGCCTTAAAGCCATCTTGGTTTTCTGTTTGGGCGCGGAACTACTGACATTCTTTCAGTGACCTCTTGTCAAAACCTTTTCGTTAATTGCAAAGATCCAGTAACTTTACTGATGGTCTCCACTGTCGAGACAATTTACTTGTTTAAAAATAATAAAAGTTTATATTTGTTCTTTTACCAGGCGCATTTTGTCATTTAATTCCGGCTATCTTCTCGTATCATTACTTATGCACGTGTTGGATGACCCCTTTTCCTCACTATGTTCACTCACGCAGCATATTTCTACTTTGCTTGTGGACTCGGTAGTTTTTTGTAGTGTCTGGCACAAGGCCACTTTTTAATAACCAGCACTGCCCGCTACCGGGCCTGCAACAAAGGCATTATGAAATTCAAGTTTGCGTGATCTTGATTTAATTGTGTGTTAAGACTTGTTCATTTTATTGTTGGCTATAAAATGTAAATTACTTATGATTCATATCAATAAAAGTCTTAAGTTCGAACAACGAAAAATTTAAAAAAATATTTAAAAAATTTGAAAAAGAAAAACTTGAATTTAAGTAAACACGGCTAAGAATCAAGGGGGATTACTCGTTTTTTTTTTCTTAAAAAAACCGTCGTTAGTGATAATAGAAATAACCGGTGCTCATTAAAATATATTTTAAAGTAATGTCTTATGGAATAAATTTAGCTCTAATGATGTTAACTTAATTATATGTTAATACAATATATATATATATATATATATATATATATATATATATATATATATATATATATATCGTGTTTTATCGTGATATCGTGTTTATTTTTTGATAAATTTTGTTTTTTTAATTTTTTTTCGAACTTAAGACTTTTATAAATCATAAATTTTATAAATCATAATGACTTTCTTAACATTTTCGTCTTAGTAAATTGTTTTCTCTTATCATTAGTGTACTATTTTTTTAAACTAAATTTTTGGTTAATTTTCTTCCGTTACACTTTTAATTTTCTTAGCCGGACATAAGAATAATTTTTTTAAAAGAAAAATCAAACAAACAAAGGATATAGTATTGTAGTGACTACTACTATGTTTGCCACGCCTACATTTTTCTCAACTGTGATTGCTCAAATAATATATACTAAATATCACAGGACAATTTACTGATCGCATTCACCACACTGAATTTTTCCTACCGTTAAATCACAAACATGCTTTTGTTATAAAATCCCTGATTGGTTAATTTTTCATCCAATCAGATATTTTTTGTGTTCTTTCAAAATTTCTCTCGCGTTCGTGCTGGGAGCCTACCGGTAATAATAAAAGCCCGGATTCGTTCCAAAATTAGACACTAGAAGACAGTAGAACTCAGCAACTCACACGCGTCTACACAGACTATTCATTCTAGTCACTGCGCACACACAGACACAGAACTTGAATTACATTCACCATCAGTTCTCTGTGAACAAGTCAAGTTGCAACAGCACTGTTAGTGATACAATACACACAACTGAATTAACTGTATGTTCTTCTGAATACAACATTTTATTTCAATACAGAATTTTGAACATTCTATTCAAAAAACTTGCTTTATTAGATTTCCCCTTATTCAACTAACAGATAAAGGGAAACTACTTTTTTCTCCTTATTATTCACACATTACAAACATTGTTTTGTATTTGTTGATTTTAATATATATTTTATCGTTGAAACAAAAATCGGTTTTCCATTGTTTTTCCTTGATTTAAAAAAATGTATAAATGTTAAATGCTCTTCAACACGCAACCACATTAATCTTTTCAACCCAACCAGCATTTACAGTATATTTGTAGAAATACGATAAGAATAAATTGAAAACAAACTTCTTTTCATTTGCATTATTTAATAAGAAAGAAATGTCCAGAATTTGTTCAGATGTTCAAATCGCTTCTTTATGAGCTACGTTGAGAATATTTATAATCGTCGAACCGAGTTCAATTTCTTGCCTAGTTGTTATGGAGGGATTTCACAGTGGAGGCTTGTATTTGTACTAAGTCGGTCCTAAAATAGGCTCGACGTACAAAACGTTAGGAACTTGATATAATAGGTATTACGCAGAGTAATCTAGTTGTGGTCGCTGACTACTTTCATATTCGACTAACTGTCGTCCGACATCGACTGACGATATTTAGTCACCCCCCCCCACGAGGGCATCATGTGGCTCAAGGCCGGTTTAACGTGGGCTCGGCCAAAAATATGCCCTTTGAACCCGTATAAACGGGTTCAGGGTCGGTTTACGTCCCCGAATGAGACTCCGCCCTTCGATGTAGCCTCGTTCGGGTTCCTCCCCGCCCGAAGGCAGAGAGTTCAACCGGTCAGCCGGTCGTCCGACTTAAGACTGAACTCAGACCGAACCACTGAGCGACGGTATTCAGTCACCCCCACCCCACACGAGGGCATCATATGGCACAAGGCCGGTTTAACGTGGGATCTCCGAGCCCGTGGGCTCGGCCAAAAATATGCCCTTTGAACCCGTATAAACAGGTTCAGGGTCGGTTTACGTCCCCGCAAGAGACTCCGCCCTTCGGTGTAGCCTCGTTCGGAGGCAGAGAGTTCAACCGGTCAGCCGGTCGTCCGACTTCAGACTGAAGTCAGACCTACCTACTGAGCGACTCCCACGTTACTCTTACTACTCCTACTTATTATAAGTGTTAGAGTCTATTAACTATAGAATCGGTGTGTTCCATTATAACACTAGTTCACCTCGTATTTAACCAACTTAGAAAAACAAGAATCTATCTTTTTGCCCTTCGTCTCAGCTGTAGGTAAAATAGCAGTGTGAACCGGGCTCTCTAGTAGCCATACGCGGAGAAGCAACATTCTGAAAACAAAAGGTTATCTTTTTAAATGTTGCCTTCCACTCATGTTTTATTTGAAGTAAATTAACTGAAGTTCCTCGTCGCTATTATTTCATGCCACTCCGTTGTAAGTCCCTTGGCTTTTCGGCAACTGAATCTCTTGGGAACGAAATAGTGATTTTCCAAGCGTAGCTCAGATGTGGCACAAGGCCGAAAGTATGGGGTACTCAGTGAGGATCAAACTCACTACTCAATCATAATTGTGCTAGCAAGACAAGCTTGCTAACCATTACACCATCTCGAGGTGCCCTTGGGAACGAAATACACTTGTTATCTCTATAGGTTTCTTTATATATCACCGTACTTCCGTAACACTCACCGGAAGAGTGCATTGAACCAGAGGGTGATACCCAACACCTAAGAAATTATGGCAATTCACAGATAATAATGAGTAAAAGAATTTATCACCTGCTTTCTGAAGAGATACGGCATTAAATATGAATAAAAATAGTTTTGTATTGAGACAGTGGTTGGTGGTCGAGCTTAGAGTTCGGACTGACAACATAATCAGATTTATCGGCGTAAAATAAACTTCTATTCACTAAACAGCGTAAAATCATTTAGACTAATTTATATACGTTTATTACAATCAACCATTATTACAATGGGTAATGGTGGACAGGGAAATCCATGTAATCTTCCCTACTCCAGCAATGGGAAAAATAGCAGGACAGACTGAGTCCTATAGCTTTTGGTGGTAACCAGTATAGGAGAAGAAAACTAAATTTAATCCATCTGCTGACTTGTAGGTCCCGCAAGAGCTAGAAGGTAACTTAAAAAAACAATCCATCTCTGAGGTAACCTCAACATCTCCGTTGCAAAAGGAACCGGCAAGCGATTGCACTGTTCTGTTTTTATTGTTACCTTGAAAC